TCAAAAGAGTTTCATGCAATAATCTTTTCGTTTTATCCACTTTAATTCTCCGTAGTAGAAGCAATACAAATTGTGATAACATTTATTTCTATAAGGATTTCCTTGAATATGGGAAGATACTCCACCAGAGCCCATTTCCACGCCGAAAATGTGGAAGATATATTTTATCTTCACTAGCATTGTATCACTAGATTGGTTCTTCCAGACCCTTGTTCCATATGGCACTGGCATTGCGAAATAACCCTGCTTGCACTTACATTGCAAAACAACACTGCAAGCACTTACCATGCTTGACAAAGGAATACTCTGTCGGGATTAAAACCGACATTTTCGAGCACAAAAATCTACGTATTAATGCACTTGTATATTTCATTATATTTAAGAAATATAATTTTGCTTCGGCAGCTGAAACTTGCGTATGAACAACTCGTAACCGCAAAATCACCACAGATAAAAAGCGCAGGTAGGCTTCGCCATGACAATGAGAGGGCAGTGAGGGAAGGCTCGGAGAGCGGTGATGCGCGGGTAGTTTATCAAAACATCGATATTTCGATACATCAGTGAGCAAAAGGATTTCGAAGTTGTGAAAACATCGACAAAAACAGCGATGCTTAAAATTTTAAAAATGATCAAACTGGAGGTATTTTCCCCATTATCTTTCCATTTTTAATGAGAGTTCTTAAATGAAATACCAGTATATTTTATTGTTTGGTAACTTATAATATATTAATAATAATGATTATAAAATGTAAAGAAGTAAATAAAAATAAAGGACATCGTGTTTTGCTATTATTCCATTTATTCACTTTCATTCATAAATCATCAAAGTAAAACGCCCTGTATCTAATATACTGTACATAATATGTAAATATTATTTTAAGGATATTCTGCCAAAAAGAACTCTTCCATCTTAATTTTCTTATCAATATTCTTTGTAGACACGGTTCAAAATGCAGTTTAATGATATTACCACGTACAAAATCATTGAAAAAAGGTAACAAACTTCTTTTTAGACATCGATGTTTCTGGAAAAATATTTCGATCTGCAAAAAACATTGAAGACAAAACATGGATGCTAGTATGCTGATGTTTCTGGTGGAAAATACCCATTTTCAAAAACGTCGATGTTTCTTCAAAAATATATCGATCTGGAAAAACACTTTACACGACAAAACATGGATGTGAATATGTGAATGTTTCTGGTCGAAAATATCGATGTTTTATTTTTTGGCGTCCGTAAGCGCGGGTGGGCGGACGGTCGGACGGGCGGACGGGCGGGGGAGAGCGGTGCAGGGGGCGGGGCCGCTGACGCGCTGCCTGTCCGCAGACGGCTACGAGGGCCGCGGCGGCCGCGACAAGCCCAGCGTGCTCGTCACGTCGCCCGGCTCGCCCGACCTGCGCGTGCCCGGGCGCGGGCGCGCCGCTCGCCTCGCGCACGGCCGCGACAACGTCGGAGGCCGCCTGCAGGTACGCATTACCCGTTCTCTTCCTGTAATCATAGTATTAATCATAGCTTTCACGGCCGGAGGCAATGTAAGGGAATGTTTCCGGGCTGGTAGGCCGTGGTCCAATTGGCAGTGATGGGCCATGTGGCTATTATTGGCCCTTCAATGCCCAATTGACCACGGCCTAAGATCCCGGAAACTCTCTTATATAGTCTACGTATGTTTGATGATTCTGTATTGTAATTGATAAGTTTTAACAAAATATGTACTCATTTTCAGAACAAATAGTTCGTTTGAAGGCGGCTCCACACATTCGGTATTCGCCGAGCTAATGCTCGCTCCCTTTGGTGTGTTTTAAAGACCGACAGGCGGTGGGTAGGGAGAATACCGAATGTTCGGCGCTGGACGAATAGCAAACAACCGATCCACAATACTCGGGATTCGACGAGCGGTTGCTCGGAATTCGCCGAATGCCGCATGTGTGGAGCCAACTTTATATATTCCCTTTCGTATTGATAATTCGTTTGTATTTTTTTATTTAAATTATTTTGTTGTGACGGACTCTCAAATTAGCACATGCATGATCTATTAACTTTCTGTAATCATAGTGTAATCATAGTTTTATATTTCATTATTGTATTTTTCAGACATTTCAGGAATTGAAACAATTTAACAAAATTTGTACTAATTTTCAGAAGAAATATTCAGTCTAATAATCCCTGTTTGTATTAATAATTCATTTATATTTTTTAAATTTCAAATATCTTGTTGTAGTTATGAACCCCATTATGCCGATAAACAGCAAATAGCAGTGGCGGTTGAAGTTTATAAACCGAGTCGACAGCCCAGGGTTATAACCAACCGAGACTTATTAGTGATGTCGTTCGTATGTCATTCAAACATTCTCATAATACCATCGTCTTGAAAAATCGTATACACAAGACATCCCATTTATTTTATTGATTTTATTTTTTGTTATTTATTTTATTTAGTAAAAACTATTTGCAAGGGCAAATTAGTATTAGATTTGAACTCTTATTCCTGATCGTACCCTTTGTGAATGAATTGACGCCTTGCCACGACAACATGGAGAACGATAACATTAATAACTATATTTCGCACTGAACTCTTAGAAGACGTGCACAGATGGAGCTTGAACTAAGTGTACTCAACGCCATCTTCAGCTACAACTCATTTGTTCTGATTGCTCTTAAAGGTCGGCGGACTGTTAAATACGTAACGGGCACCGGTCCCTAAGAGTTGCTTTTCTTTCCGCATTTCGTTCCTCTATTTAGTTGCGTTAAGTCAATATATAACCATACAGTGTTATGAAAAAATCAATTACATGCAATCGTTATTGTTATTAATTTTCCCACAATATTTCCTAATCTCAGTCAATGAAATACTATGCAATAATTTCGCTGCCAGCTCGGTTGGGCATGCACGCCGCGCGTGAATGAAGTCATGGGAATTACTACCAGAGAGACTCTACTCGGCGGAACAATGAAATCTCCCCTCCGCACAGATGTCCGTCTAGTCGCTAAGGGCCATTGTGAAAGTGGCTATGGAACATACTTGTACGCGTGGGGTACGATTAGACGGCAAATAGAAAAATCAATTTAAGTACATTTGTAGTTTCTTTTATTGACTTTTACACATCCTTCCTCATCATTAAAATATATTGTATCCTTTGACAAATACGCTACAGGGCTATTGCTACAGAAAATCAGAGAACGTAATAGATTCTTTTCAAGACCCAACTGCGGTGATAAGCTCGTGGATGCCCGGAGGCGCCAGTAATGCATCTGCCACCGCTAGGTCACCTTGATCACATTGCTTTATGCCTACTTGGGAAGAGAAGGCGAATCTCCCCGACCACGTTTCTCAGCTCAGAAAGCTGCCCTTGGACGGCGTAGGGAGGAGCAAATAGACTTCGAAACACAGTTTGTTTTTACACCCATTCTGTAACCCTCAGACGTGCAAGCCCGAGCGACTCAGTTGCACTGCCAAAACTATATTATACGTATACTTTATCTAGATAGGTTAGAAATTGACATAGAGACGTTTATCAAAAATTGTAATAAAGAAAACTTGAATAAAGAATTTAGTGAATGATATATATGTTATTTTATTTTATTCGAATTATAACGTAATTTGGCATTATAGTACTTCACATCTCAAAGGACAATCACAACGAACCGTGCGAAATGTCCTTATCTAGATGTTGATTGGTCCTCGTGGCTAACTGTTGGTCAGCGTGCTCGCTTTTCACTACGTGGCCCCGGGTTCTATTCCTGATGATGCTGATGATTATAGGGTGCGTTTTCCTTGCAATGTCCCAGTATATTTGCTGTGTGACGATGAGAAAATGCACTTCTCAGGTTAAGAAGTTCGGAATACGGAATGGGGATTTCTTCGTGTTAACCACACATACCCCCTTAATCCAGGGGCGTCGCCGGTATGTCTGAGCGTCAAGTGCATACATACATACATATACGGATGTTGATTTAGTCGAGCTAAAAAATTGTGCGCAACAAGATAAATAGATTTCACTCTGGAATTACGACTCTAAAAACGTGAACTCATTGGAACGTTAATTATGTTTGTTGTAAGACCTAATAAGGGGCGGCAATAAGATACGTGACATCATATCCAATCTCAAATGAGATATATTGGAATTAAAATTACGTAACTTGAATAGTCATACATTTATCGCCTAATCATAAAAATAATTCAAAAACTCTACAGATGTGTTTCAATCTAAGTGTTCACTGGTTTCCGGCTGATCACTGGCAATCAACTTCCATTTTCAGAGTAAATATCGGGACAAGAATTACAGTAATATCACAGGGAATGAGAATACACACACACACACACACACACACACACACACTTAGGTAAGAGAGACATTCTAGAATAAATGTACATTTCTGCCCAGATTTGACCTACCTATACCAATGAACATCAACGCAGGCAAACATTCGTATAATTATGGAAGAAATATTAAAGTATATCGTGGATCAAGTACGTTTGTGCCCTCGATAATAACGTTTGAATCAATCAACGAATATTGGTGATCAAATAACCAGCCAATCTATTTTGGACATGTGGCCGATTGAAAATATTGTATAAACTTTATTAAAAATGAATAAGGCGAACTAGCTAGTTAAACTAATCAGCGGTAAAACGCCGATTAATTCATTTTTCTATTTAATTAATACAACTTTATAATCATCCCAAGTCTATAAATTATTTTGTAATATTTCTCAAATTCGTACTAAAATAATGTATTCTACGCGTACAAAAATGTCTTTGGCGTACTCGCTTCAAAATGCCGGACTCATCCCGTATCGCTTCAATATTTCATTGGTACGCCAAATACTTACTATCTGAACCAGTCACGTAAGTAAGTATTTTTAATGTGACGAGGTTCGAGTATTGTGGTACTCTCTTCCATTGAAGTACTAAGTGTTTCAAAGTCGTTTGTTTGTTGAACGATCGGCGCCATTTCAGCAGTAGGTTGTGCGGCTCTGAGGTGCATGTGCGCGTGCGCAGGTGAAGCTGTGGTTCGACTCGAGCGCGCTGCAGCTGCTGGTGACGGTGGTGTGCGCGGCGGGCCTGACGCCTCGCGCCAACGGCCAACCACGCAACCCCTACGCCAAGCTCTTCCTGCTGCCTGACCGCAGGTGCGTAAGCTTTGCTCTCGCGCCTCCACCCCGTTCTCAAACCACCCGCTCAGCCGTTGCCGCGTCAGTGCCTCTCGCCCAGAGAGTGGAGGTCCGACGACGGCTACTCTCTCTATCTGCCACTCTCTCTCTCTCTCTCTCTGCCACTCTCTCTCTGCCACTCTCTCTCTCTGCCACTCTCTCTCTCTCTCACACACACACACACTTATTGAAATGTAAATACTATGGCTTCATGCTTAATGCGAAAGTTTTATTTCTTACGCCATACTATAGATAAATATGGAATGTATCTTTTGGCTGAATATTACACCCCGTTTATTATACGTTTTACGACAAAAACTTATTACACCTATTTAACTTGTTTAACAATGTTTTCTTAAACACTAGCAAAATTTGTTTAGAAGACAAAATAGGTCCACTTACTGTTTGCACTTGCTTTATTACGAATCTGAATAGAATGAATACTACCTTAAACCACCACTCTCGCATGGTGGGAAGGAGAGCAATGTGTCTGAATGCGTGCGTGCGTGCGTGCGTGCCCGCAGCGAGAAGTCGAAGCGGCGGACGAAGACGCTGGCGAACACCAACGACCCCAAGTGGAACCAGACGTTCGTGTACTCGTCGGTGCGGCGCGCGGACCTCAAGCAGCGCGCGCTCGAGCTGACGGTGTGGGACTACGTGCGCTACGGCGCCAACGACTTCCTGGGCGAGGCGCTGCTGGAGCTGGGCGGCGCGCCGCTCGACGAGGAGCCCGAGTGGGTGTACCTGACGGCGCACGACGAGCTGTCGGGGCCCGCGCCCACGCCCCACCACGCCCACCACCCACCCAGGACGGTAAGTCGCGCGCGCCAACGCTCCCTCCCTCCACGCTCGCTCCCCCCGCCCACGCTCCATCGCCTCTTTCCCCGCCACGCTCCCTCCGCGGTCTATCCCTTTGCTCACGGCTTCCTTCGCCCGCTCTTCCCGCGCTCGGGCTCGCTCCCCCCGCCCACGCTCCCCCGCCGCTTCCCTCCTCCCACGCTCCCTCGAGTCCGGCGCACGTTCCCCGCCCTACGCTCCCCCGCCCACGCTCGCCCCCCGCCCACGCTCCCCCCACGCCTCCCTCCTCCCACGCTCCCCGCCACGCTCCCCGCCACCACCCGCCACCTCTCTCCTCCCACGCTCCCCGCCACGCTCACCTCCGCCGACGCTCCTGCCGCCACGTCCCTCCGCCCACGCTCGCTCCGCCATGCTCCTCCGGCCACGCTCCTCGCCCTCCGCGCCTCCTCTCCGCACTCGCTCCTTCCGCACTCGCCGCACTCGCTCCCTCCGCACTCGCTCCCTCCGCACTCGCTCCCTCCGCTCTCGCTCCCTCCGCACTCCCTCCGCTCACGTTCCCTCCGCTCACGCTCCCTCCGCCCATACTCTCCCGCCCCCGTACTCTCCGCCTATGCTCCCCCGCATAATCTCCCTCCAGGTTCTCTCCCTCTGCCCACGCACATTCCTCTCCCGCCGCCAAAGCTCCGCCCGCCAAAGACTCCTCCACCCACTCCTCTATGCTTCACGAGGAAGCTCTGCATGCGTTAGCTGCGCGCACGCTTCATTCACTACCTCTCCGGTCTACCTGCTGTCTGCTCTCTCTCACACGGCTTCCCACATATCCTCCGTGTCTCCGGCTACAACTGTGTTGCTTAGTGTTGTGTAGTTTTGTAGCAATTGTCTCCACCGTCTAGCTTTGCGAGTGTGTAAGGGACTAGTGTGTGTTCCAGCGGCGGGACGCGGAGAGCGGGGACCTGGAGCTGGCGTTGACGCCTACGGACCACCTGTCGCCGCCCTCCACCACCTCGCGCCTCTCCGACTCCGACACCACGTCCGACCTGGAGGAGCCGCAGGGCGCGCGCGACCGCCGCGTCGCAGACGGCGCCTCCATCTCCAGCGTGGGCTCCTCCTCCAGGTGAGCGCCCCCGCCCCGCCCCCGCCCCCGCACTACAAACGCCATTTTCGGCTTGCTACTCCCTCGTTGCAGTGATGGATGGGAAGAAGTATCTGATATTATTTATTGGCTCCGTTGGTATAACGGTGATCGAATCGAGCCCAAGTTTGCGGGTTCAAATACGATCGAAGACGTGGATTAATAAGGGAGAAAAAAACATGCATACGCCATCCTTCGCAGAAGACGTAAAGCCGGCTGTCCCATGTTGTAGATTTACTGCATGTTAAACATTCTCAAACCTAAAATAAGCATCTGAGCTAAATTTAAATCACCTGTTCCATCGCCGTTTTTTTCCCATTCTTTTCCCTATAGATGGTGAAAAGAGCAAAGCGAAAATTGCGCGGTCAGTCGGAAGAGGAGGCCTGAGTCTCACCACGTAAAGACATCATTGAGCTGAATTGATTTTAAAAGTTTAGAATCGATTCTTTATTCCACAACGGCGGTACAGAAGGCATTCCGTGCTTCATTTACGAATGTTTAATTTTTACTCCAGTTAGTAGTGGAAAACGTGTCTCCTTGTTCATCAGTATCTCGTGACTAGACATCGGACTTTTAGTCTAAAATCCCATTTGGGCACGTAAAATAGTCTCTTAGAACGGCATATATATAAAATAGGCAACATAAATTGAGATAAAAATAAATTTTCTGGTCAATTTTTATTTTATTTCCTAATATATTATTTAGAGATACGCATTTAGATAACATAAATGTTGTTTCTGTAATAAGAAAAATTGGAAGAAAAAAATATTTAAGTGGTAAAACGTAGTTGTGAGAAATAGTGTTACTGACACAAAGGGACTTCTGGAACAAATGTATTTTCCATAATTTCTCTCACAATATACTACCACCTAAACCTTTTTCAAAACTATGTGACTAGAATTTGTGACTTGTGTCACTAAAATAATTTTATAAGCAGAAACTGATATCAACTTTTCTTGACTCATCTACACTTTTCTTGAGTGCATAGTTTAATTACGGTAGGTAACAGTGAAGCAATGAACTAATTGTAGCAACTGTTATAAACACGGAATTTGTAGCAACTGTTATAATGTTCGATGCAGAGAGAAGCCACATTAATCCTATAAGATGTAAATTGGTTCATCGAATATCGCGGCACCTCATAATGGGGTGATCATAAAGAGGGTTTTTAATAGAAGTAACGCTTTATTGTAATTTGAGACAATCGCTAACAATAAGAAGTGCTAAAACTGTTTGTGATGATGTTTTAAGACATAATTCTGTTATCTTTAGATGACAGGACTACGAAAAAAGTTGGTAAACAGCTAAAGCTGTACTTTTTTTAATTCCAAAAATGAAGTATTTGTCGGACTATATGCATTTTTAAGCTGTATCGCTGAAATACGCATTTAGACAATATAAATGTTGTTCCTGTAATATCGTAAAGTCACGGAATATGTATATAAATAACTTACACTGGCTACGTTAAAAGAGTAAAATAGCCATTTGTCTAAAAATCTTATGTCTAGTCATGAATTATACGATGTCCAATAGGTTGCGATTATCCGGTGTACTCAATACTTCAGAGGGTGTCTTAAATACTTGCCTAATCAGCAATATAGCTCGCATATCATGTTGATAAAGATGAATGTTTGAATGTATACCGGATCTTGTTTATAATATAGATCCGTTTATAAATATACAGAATTTTTTTATATCTTAAAAGTGAAACATTATCGATTGTCGATTCATTGTGTATTATATTATTTGACTTCTCCCTTCTGTCTGTTTTTAAACGATATAATTAATGTAATATATGTGTCAAAGATTTGGACATTTTGGTAGAGAAGCATACTTCTTCCCAGGACAGTTAGATACATAAAAATTAAATACGTCTTGTGAAGCTATACTGATTCCTTGGATACTATTGATTCGCAATTCAATAAATTAAAAACAAAGAAAACCCTTTGTTCTTGCTTTCTGAATACTCTTTTCTTGCTTTCTATATTCTTTTCATATATTAAATTAATTTCCTAACAAAAAAATAATGTTCAGAGTGTATTGGAAAGGCTATTGTGCATTTCTGCGTTCATCAATAGTATCTTAGTTTCGGGCACACGCCATCAGTGTCTGCAGCTGTTATGTTCAACCCTTTCCGCCTTTTTGAATATTCAGCCAACAATACTAAGCATTCTCCCCTGCCGCCCCGCCCCTGCGCCGTGTAGTAGAGTCTTGCCTCAGTTTGTGTTGCCGTCTCTGCCACTTGACCAGTTAACCGAGAAGCTGCGTGCCTGCTATGATTTACCCGCGGTCAGCATCGTCCGCTCATTTGCCCTCTCTTTCCCTCTTTGTGCACCTTTCTGCTGTCGACCGCACTTCCTCCTTCCCCTACTTTAACTTTAGCCTTACCTTAGAATCTTCATTTTGTTTATATTTGGCTTCTTTTGCTACTTTATTCTTCTTCTTTCTTGCGACTGCTGAGCATTCGCCGCCTCTACGAGACTTCGCCTCTGGAAGTAGCCGCCCTGTCGTTTCTTTTGCAGCCCGTTGCGCGCCCGCTCGGGGAGATGCGGTCAAAAGTAGTCGGGTGCGTCTGCCCGTTTGCCACACGCGAATTTAATTTCTCAATAACGTTCTTTGCTTTTCCTTTCACTATGTGGAAACGGATGTGGAGGCTGTTGAGCCTTCTTTGCAGCTAGGAAATATTCGTGGGTGGAGCGTAGCTCCTCCACATCTCTTGGTCTCTCTCTCTCTCTCTCTCGCTGGCCACTGTCGCTTGCGTCGTCGGGCGCGGAGGTCGTGCTGCCGCTGCGTTGCGTCCGCCGCTTGCGCCCCTCCCCCGCCTCCTTGGCCACGCCCCCGTCCCGCCTGCCGGCGCGGCCCTGGCCCCCGCCAGCGGAGGAGGAGGAGGAGGAGGAGACGTGGCGAGCGGAGCGGTGGCCGCGTGTTGCAGCCCGCCGCCTGACCTCGACGTGCAGGACCAGCGGCGCTCCCGAAGAGACATGTCGCCGCAGGGCCGGAAGCGCGCCGCGGGCATGATGGGCGGCTACCCGCCCCAGCGCAAGGTAGGGCGCCTTCCGCGACGCCCCGCCCCCGACCACGCCCCCGCCCACCGCCCACCGCCCCCCCCACACACACACTCTCACGGTATACGGCGCTCGACCAAGATGCGAAGGCCACAGTTACCCAGTTCTTTTAGCACCTTAGATCATTCGATTTTATCATAAAGTAGTTGCAGCTGTTTCTCGTGAGACAAAATCCCTTGAAGTTCCTTGTTAAATACGTTATGGTAAGAGGGAGTACGTCTTTCAAAACAGTTGAGTAAAGAGGCGTTTGTGGGAAGATGAGAAAGAAAGCAGAGCGATCGAGTCAGCGGAAAGGAAGGGGACCGAGGCCGGCGAACGAGTCATCGGCCGGGAGTTGGCGAAACTTCGCACACTTCTTTAGAATCCCGACCGCTGAAGAGAGTGGACCAGTTGGCCTGCCCTGGCTCAGCGCTTACCTGTGGGCCACCGATGTCACCCACATCTGCAGCCAACCCGATGGGCTCGGGCGCGCTTGGCTCTACCGGAAGGCGATGGCACGCGACCCCCCAAGAACAGTGACCTCATTTTCTTGCAATAGAGCAGCCCTGATTTAAAAGACTTTCTGTAGAATTGCATAATATACGGATGGAAAAAATGTTGGTTTCACGCCTACTGCTCAACTCGGTTTAGCTGCTGAGGCGGACGCATTGTAGCTCAATGTTTGTCGCGATATCGAAACATTCTACTTGTAGACTTGTTAGCCATTGCAGTAACTGCAGGCTTACATAGATCTGCTTAAATAGTTCTCAGGTGCTTCAAGTTAAATATAGACAATGAAAGCGTCTAAATTTTATTCACAAGATGTTGGTCAGCGTTAC